CATGATTTTGTTCGAACATCAAGTATCGACCTATATGAACACAAGAAAATGAAAACTGCGGAAGCGGAAAACTTTCTCACCCAGGGGATTCGAACCGCGCGGAACACAAAATGTGGTCCTGTAAAATGATAGCAAGAGGATGAATGATCGATTAAATGATGAGGGATCAGATAGCAGAAGCTCGCAGCCGATAACACGAGGAGATTTTCTGCTCTATTACAAACATATTCGAATGGACTTTCGAAGGAGCACTTCAGAGTAATGTTGGGAATAGGAGTTGCGGTCATATCCGACAAAGGGATTCGAAAATTGGCGAAGTTTTTCTAGTTCGTGCCTCATTTTCACATGGCGTGGGATGTGTTTTCCGTGGTAATTACTTTCATTTCCGCAACTGCCATTGGCTCTATAGCTATAGTTACACTCAAAATCCCTGAGATCGGGTAGGCGTGGCTCTATGCTTCCGCTTAACCTATAGGAATATTAGCTTCAGGTGAGATATTTTTTATGCACAACTGTTGTGGTGTCTCAACACAGAGCAAGATGACAGTTGTCCCAGACTGAAACGTTCCACGAGTGACCATTTCCGTGTCAAATGTTCAAATGCCACGCCTACTTTAGACCTGACTGTAGCCTAGAGATGTAATGTAACGAAATTCTCCTCAGGTATGAAAGACGCGTAATTCACTCCATGTCATTGCAAAAGGGAGGGCGTGGCTGCGTTCTTTATGTGAAGTAGACGACGGGTGTATTTCTGAAAGGACGTAGCCATTTTGAGACCATTGTAACCACGTCACTGACACACATATCTGCCTCGTCTGCCTCCAATAAACATACCCTTCACAATAAAGGACCACCGTTGCCTTTGATGGGAATTTCCCCTGGAAAGGAATGCTTAGCGAGGGTTAGATGGAGTTTGGTATTCACGCTTGTTCACGAGCACACAAAGTTCACAGCGATGGACCCTCATAGCGGTTTATGAAAGAGCTTAGGGAATTGGCTTTGGTAGAGCATTTTAACAGGCAATGGTGGTTTATGAAATCTTTCATTACCACAATCAATAAAATCATCAACCAATCACTACTCATTTTTTGTTTTCTCTTTAGCTGCCTTCCATCTAATTTGACATTTGACAACGAGGCAGACAATAATAATGGCGATACTGATAACACAAATGGCGATATCGAAACATATAATATTCAAACAAAGACAAACGCCTCCCGTATGGATCGAGATTTGGCAGGCGTCCGAATCTGAAACAGAAAAATATCATAAATAGTACCATAAGAAAAATATGGGACCTGGATCTCAGGTGGGATCCCAACCCACATCTCACGTCTTTCGGACGAATGCGTCATTCATTGCCCCATCAGATCACATATCTACCCTATTCATCATAACAAAACGAGAACAGAATCGTCAAAGTATAACCTCGTCATCCGGGCAGTTGATTAGGGCGGTCGTCAACGGGCCGCAGCTGCTAATCTGGGAAAAAGTAGCCAAAACAGTGAAAAGTTGGAAAAAATGACTAAATTAGCCTGGAAAAAGCAAATAGTTCCTGGCACGCGCTGCGGCCCGTTGACGACCGCCCTAATCAACTGCCCGGATGACGAGGGTAGCTGCGAGCCGCAAGAGTGAGGGCTCAAAGCATTGGGTTGGCCCATATGTGATGGCACTTTTTTCTTACTCGAAAATCGCGCTAAAGATGGAATCTCCCTACTGACTTTTAAGCTGCTTTGTGGAAAATTCCTTGCAATATTCGGCGATATTCTTGAATTCCTTGAAGTCTTTCTTCTCACTAATATTTGAGTGCTCAAACTTGAGCGCCAGGTTGACGAAATTAAGCATTTTCGAAAGACTTCCTTTTTTACTTCTATCTGAAATGATCAAACCGCACGGTTGCTAAGTATATGGCAGGAAGGCTGGATCTCTAAAAATGCTCCTAATAGTCTAAGTGATTCGAAGATTCCAGTACTGACCTAACAGAGAAGAATCGGACCTAGTGCTAGTGCTAGTGACTAGAGTTTCATGAAGGTTGGACATGCTAAGATATACATATGACATACAACATACTAAGGATGGGGAATCATTAGAGATTATAGAAAACTTCCTTATCGTCATCAACCACTACCCTCAGTTGATGTTAGACGTTCGAAAATTAGTGGATAGGTTCTGCAGGCCGTCGCTCCCCAAGGAGGGCCCCCATGCGTTGCACATTTACAAGGTCCGAAAACCCAACTCTTGGTCGCTTGTACCGAATTCAGGCTAATAAGAAGCATCTTTTTTTGATTATATTTATTACAACTTGTGAAATTCTCCTTAATTCAAGAGCCGAGAAAAAAAGCAAAATAATGTTGTCGAAAATTACTTTTGTGTAGACCCGACTTTCCGTTTCAAAGAACTGTAGGAAGGCAATCACAATGTCCTATGGAGCAGAGAATTCTATCAAATAATGTAGAACACATTGGGAAAAATTGTCATTTCTCATATAAAAATTTGCATGGGGAAAAAACGCCATTACTTATGGGCCAACCCAATAATGACATTGTTGGTAAACGGTCTGCACGCTATGGCAAGCCATGGCGACTTTATAAGCTTGACTTAACCTATCGTTCCTGCCTTACATCCGCTTTCCAGAAAAGCGCCCGATCATGGGGAAAAGCCTTACTCTCCCGAATGGCCAGGGAATGGTGAGCTGCATTAAGCTGATGAGCCTCAATTTGCTGTATTCTTCTTGGCGAGACGCACACCTCGCTAAGAAGAATAGCGTAGCAAAAGAAAAGCGAAATGTTTGTCCTTTTGAGCTCACACATCATTTGTTATTCATGTATACACCTCTCAGCAAGACGAAAGACGACCCCCTTCACTGAAAATTCCTCACAGATTCCCCCAATGAAGTGATCCCGTACATGCTTTTCTCGTGCAGGTTCGCACTGGCAGAGAGTGGACCATTTCCTCACTTGAAAGTCCTTGTATGCCTCTCCGTAATACCCACGCCCGGCTTCCTCTCCCCCCACGAACAGCCCTCCGGGAATTGGGCTGCTGTTTTTAGTAGGGCGCTTTCTCTTGGTGGGAAAGCTTTTGAAGCACACGATCTTTTCAAATTTATTCCTCTGGTAACCCTCTTTCCTCGCGCTTCTTACCACCTCTTCAAAAGAGTAGTCTCTTGAGGTCAGGTACGACCTCCTTTCAAAACATTGTGCAAATACGCCATCCCCTTACTAATGACTGTCTCCAACGTTTTGCATCATGTGGATCACGACAAACCAGCTATAAAAAATTATCCCAGGTTATTTGACCGTCTGTCCCTCCAGTGAGCGGAGAGACAGTGGGTATTCCTCAGCTTTTCACATGTGAAAGGACAGCCTTACTCAGGTTGGAGTATTTGATCGGCTCCTTCGTTTTGTTCTTTATAAGCAAGTCAACTTTCACATGAACTTCGGTTTTTCAATCTCTCCGCCTACGAGTTTCCTGGGGCCTACAAAGCTCCGGAGGGCTTACTGGGAAGTCGCTCCGGGGAGCGATACCTCTGAACTTGAAAAGGTTATCCTATGTACTTTTCGTTCACACTGCGGTACAGCGAATAGTGATTCCAAGTAAGGTTCCCCCTCCCCCGGCAAAGTAAGCAGTTGAGTAGCGAATTACCTTAAATTCACGTATCCTTCCTAACTTCAACTAACCTAGCAGCAAATTCGCTGTGTTTGATAAGGAGCTGCTTGGCATTGACTGGCTGATTCTGCAGCATTTCTGACAATCTCTTGGCGTTTTTGGTAAAGCTGAAAAATCCTTCCTGTCAAGTGTACCTCATATAAAATTGCAGTATGTTTTGGAACAGCCTTATATCAACTTTACAACGCCGCCCCTATCTTTTTGTAGTAGAAACGACGGTTTTTTTTGTCAAATCAGGTGCATAAAGTCGCTTTTCCATAACATCCGCAGAAGCTGTCTGAATGATCTGAAGACAGTAGATAGTCTTGTAGAATGCGAATCTATTGAGGCTGTGGATCTCCCGCTTTACGACAATTTTCGGGCGTTTTTTTTTTTGAAGGGGTTGAAGATTAAACTCCCGGTAACCGAGGTGTTACGTGAGGACACGGCTGCGTGGTGAGACCTCACGTCTTGATTAGGATATTGAGTGCGTCAGTTGTTCGGATACTTCAGTGATTCGAACGATATACCTTTCATCGTAAAGGATCCTTTTGAGAGAATCCCTGAGCACTTCTGGATACCGCAGGTCGGATTTACTTAGAACGATAGCCGCACCGTGTTTGGCGTACATGTTGGCATTCCTCGGTTGATCGCCAAAGATTGGTACCTCAGAAAGGAAGGTTTTTTGATCCTCTGAACCATACAATTTTCACTATCTGATATGACAGTGACTTACCATGATTGCAGGTTTTCCAAAGTAAGCCATCTCAGTGGTGCTGCTCAATCCTCCATGAACGATGATTGCTGTCACCCGTGGATCAGCTAAACACCAATTTCTTCAGCCGGTATGAACGGGTACCTGTCAGGAAATTCATGCTGGCTTCGTCGCACAGAGCACAGCAGATTATTTCCTAGCTAGTGACCCTCCAGGCTGCAACCAATGAGGTCGTGGTGCGAATGCCGCGTATCACCACTTGCAACAGTGCACCACCTGCGTGTGAAGAGAGCTCCCCCCTCTCCCCTCCCCACAGTTTTTGATCCCAGGGTAAAGCACTGGGATGTGTGAAGGGGCTTCGAAGCGTCCCCTCCCCCTTCCAAGAAAGAAGGTTGTACCCCCCCCCCTCCTCCCAGTTCGAGCTCAGCTTTGAGCTGTAGCGAAAAAGTCCGCACGTGTGATTCTGCAAGCGCTCCCGGCTGCGTTGTGATTCCAACTCAGATTAGCGCTGGAGCAGATCTGCTGGCACGGTAGAAACTGCTGGGTCCCTATGGGGGTTGTAACTTTTCAGGCTCGTAACCTTTTGAGATCGGAAGGCGGCATTCCAAATCGATGGCTCTACTATTGCGTTTTAGTACTACACTTAATTTGAATCTTTCCCCGTCTGAGAAATATTTTGTACGGGTTTGTGAAGGAGAGTATTTTGCACTGGTTTGAGAGGACTTCAAATCTCACGCGAGGGTTTGATGTTCTGGATGAAAATAACTTTTATACCCATTTTCTCCTCAAAATGAAGAGCTTCTTCGCGGAGCGTAATACTTTTCTTCCACAAAAGCGTTAGAGTCCCACTAAAGACCCGCTAGTTTAGAAGGTGTTTTAGATGGGTTTTCGATGGGCAAAAGTGTCAGCCACTTGAAAGCCTGACTCCTTCTGTGCCATTGTAGGACTCGAAACCCGCACCACGTGCCTGGAAAGCGGCTCTTTTGGAAGAGAATTGAGAGTTTCTGAAAGTTTCTAGTAAGCACTGTCCATCTATATCACGCTCCGCCTAAGATGGGTATGTCTTCTATGTAATTTCGTCTGCCAACTGATTGCCTGTCGTTTCCCAATTTATCCGCTCCTCGGGCTCAATTTTTTAAATACGTAGCTTCTGGCCGTACGTAGGGCCTACCCACAGTAGCTCATCTCATGTGTGTTCCGTACTTCTTGGTCTATGTACTAAACCCACTCGTGACCCAGCTCCTCAAACTTGCTCCTCAGATGGTCCCGAATTTGCGGACAGACACACACGCAGACAAACAGACGTTGCCGTTTATATATAATATAATAGAACCATTAAAGTCGAACACTTGTAAAAAAACGTCAAGGTGAGACGAGACTAGGTTCAGCAGGAAACAATGATCACTCAAGGCGCAGCGCCTAATCTGGTTACTGGCAATAAATGTGACAAAATCAGAGTAAAGAGACATATTGGTTTGAACGAAGTTGGCTTCGTTACGTCCCACGCTGTAGTGCCGCAAAAAATAGAAGGCTCCCTGACTGGCTGGCCCGACACACTGCCACGTACTTGCCTCTGCCTTTTCCCCTTCCTTTGGCGAAGCATACTAAAGACGAACCGCACATCTGACAGTACTTATCGAGCGCGTCGTATGAGGGCCAAGTCCAGAATCAACTCCTTCTTGGCCGGAAAGATTTTCATTTCTTCGGAAAGGTCGATTGGTACAGCTTACAGGACAAAATTGAAATATTCATCAGCAGGACCCAGTCATTGTACAGGTCACATCACATCAAAAAAGGGCACTATTTACCCTTTACTGCCCCAGCATCCGAAATCAGGCCAGTTCCTGACCGACTTTTTTCTCCGTGGGCAGAATTTGCTGAAACTTGGCTCCAGGGGTAGTTCGACCCGCTGAACACGAATATCGCATCCGCTTGACCCGAAACCTCCTGGCGCCCGCGCCAAAATACTCGAAATCACCAAATTCGCTGAAAACTTGCTCCCAGGGGTAGTTTGACCCCCTGAACACGAATATCACATCCGCTCAACCCGAAACCTCCTGGCGCCCGCACCACGGGCACCGGCGCCAAAATACCCCAAATCATTGGCGCCTGTGGCGCGGGCGCCAGGAAGTTTCGGGCTGAGCGAATGTGATATTCGTATTCTGGAGGTCAAACTACCCCAGGAGACAACATTTGAGCAAAATCTGCCCACGGAGAAAAAAGTCGGTCAGGAACTGGCCTGATTTCGGATGACTGGGGCAGTAAAGGGTAAATAGTGCCAAAAAAAGTGTGGAAGTAGGATGTGTGTCGCACCCCAAAGGCGGTTGACCATGTGTAACAGTTTTTTCCTTCAGATATTGCTCAGTGCTTGAAGCCTCAAGGAAACGATTGTGAGTTAGAGCAAAAGATCTTTGCTCAAGTGATTGCGTGCAATAATGGAGCATTCGCTTTCCGCCTGGACTGGTTCACATTAATTTACAAGAGGCCACAGAATACTAGGACGCTCCCACAACACGGTCCGGTATATTGACGGGGACTGATGGAGGCTGGCGCTATGTTAACTCAGGCTTCTTATCGTATTTCAGCACAAGAAACTTACCAAGAAGAGCAGCCTGTGGCAGCCACGTCCGCAGATAAACATTACTCAAATGAGCACCTAACTGTGAATTCTCTTCTTCGTATTTCCAAATAAACGTTGTTTCAGGCATGCTTTCGAAAACCTCCAGCATAGCTTTCCTTGAAAGATTAAAACTTTAGGACTGATAGGTTTGACCCCGTTCAAACATTTTATCCCCTCTAGGACTCACTGTGCTCACCTACGGAGCTGGCTCTTTCCTTCATCGCGATAAGCAGGTATGAAACTGTAAAAGGTGCTACACTCGTCAGTGGGAATTGCGCGACAATGGCGCTCAAGTTGGTTGTGATGTCCGAACATGCTGTTACGCCTCCGTTTGAAATTCGTACGTGGCGTATATGCTGCAAGGCCTGGGCAAACAAGCTTCCGCATAGTACGTGCTGGCAACAAGCTCATAGCAATGACATATTCCGAAGTCAAGCTGCACAGAATGCTGTCTACAAGTTAAATGCCATAGATCGCAGACAAGTGGCGCATCTGGCTAGGCGTAGGACTGGTCGTGTAGCGTGCGCGTCTGCAGCGGCACAGTTGAAGGGCGTTCTGGTTACTACAGCCCTCTAGCATGACTACGATGCATTTTTAAGTGGCGAAAGCCAAAGGCCACGGTCACATCACGGTAGGTAATCGTATAGATAGCGAGTGCTCTCCACCTCGAAGGAGACATTTCGTATCTTGCATAACTGCCCATTTCACGTGAGCTTAGGGCCTCACCAAAGTCAGACCTGCGACCTAACAAGATTTTAGATTCCAGAACTCTCCTTCCCCCCCCCCCTCCACACCTCTCGAGGCCCCATAAAGAATAGTTTCAAATAGTGGCGTGTGTTAGTGACGTCCAACAGCATGGAGCCCCTGTGGAGCATAAAGTGTTTATTATAAATTAATACAAGCGACTTCATCGTCGGCTTGCAAATATCTCTCATAAAACTCACTTATATTCATCAGGCATATAGATTGCTTTTGCCACTGTACCGAATGACACCAACACAGTGGAGTTTCTCTTATTCAAAATATCATTCCACTTGCTTCAAATAAAACGATGAAAGAAGAGTAGGAAAGCAAGAGTGGGTTTCGCTTCATACCTTCGATAAAGCATTCTTCTTCGGATCCGTATTGATAGTGAATCCACCAATATTAACTGTTTTGTGAAGCATCAGGCGAGGATAATCAAGGTATGGATTGGCGTTCGAAAAAATATAGGAGGCCTCAGCAAATATATCCTAAGTAGAGGTTGGTTATTCCAGACCATCTTCGATCGTCATGCATAAACCACTAATTGTGGTTATATCTCACAATAGCACCAATTAGCATGGAAAAGAAATCATGTAACAAGTGAAACGGTAATCTGGATTTAATATTCCTCCAACGGTGGAGAACTTCAATCAGCAACCAAATCACCACAGATGCGGCCGTAAGTCTTACTCGCCAACTAATGCTAACTCCGGGTGGTCACTGGTCACTGCATTTGGGGGGGGGAGGCAGTTGGATCGCAAGTCAGAACGGAACTTTACACAAATTTTTGTTGACCCGGGATCAAATCATTTTGGACAGGTAGAGCGCGACAGGCGTAGATTGGAGGTCGCCTTTGCAGCCCTCCAATCTACGCCTTGTTACACGCCCTTCTTTGGTGGAATGTACTTATGTAGAAGGCGTATTCATCTGTCGGGCATGGCATACTCTCATGGAGGCATCCTAAACTTTGGGTGTTGCGTAGAGATACACGTCTAGGGCTTTGAGTGAGGGGATTCTTTTTAGTGCTGCAGAGCTTCCCTTTCCACTGCAACAGAAATGCGTCGTTTCTATTGCAGTTCTGAGAGCAGTGTGGAGAATATGTCAAAAGTATATTCTTTCTGCTACTAGCTGATTCGTGCGGCACCCACTGATCAGTCTTCGTCAACTTTTTGACCTCCTGCGAGATCCTCTGGCAGAAAAAAAAACTAGATGGCCTCTTATTTCGATCTCATTTCAGCTTAAAGGCACATTCCGCGATAAAATAAGGCTATGACCTCTCAAATGTGTCGGACGATCCGGAAGGCGATTTTTGAGGCTGCGCTACTTTCAAAATGTGAAAAACGGCAAGAACTCCGCTAGAAGCTGACTAATGGACACCCCTTAGGCCCATGCCGACCCTCACCGGCTGCTAGCTACTAGCTAGTAGCCACTATGTTATCTTTCTCTATAACATTTCGGACTGCTTTTCTCCGCTAATCAGATACTTAGCACTTTTTTGTGCCTATTTGAGTTCCGTTTCCCGCAATTTGCGGTCGCGAACTGTGCCTTTAAATAACGGCGGTCACAGTTTCGGACTACAATTGCTATCCATTTCATAGAGCTCAATACATGGCGGAAGTGCTTCTTCTTTCAATCCAGGTGTCTTCTTTTCATTGATCTTACAAGATTTCTCCTTGTGTCGCACGAGCTACGGCTTTTTCTCACGAAATAGCGTTCTCTGGGTCCATTTTGTCCATTACAACGGAGCTGTTGAAGGCTACTTTTCGTACTGACTGAGTGTATCTGAGGGAAGGGCTGATGTGTCCTATGCATTCACCTGCGGGCCAGCCGATGCACAGGTATGTAACCTCCCAGACGGATCTGGCAGCAATTTACCGTTCCAGAAGGTAGATGGCTTGGTTGGCTAGGGCGGGAGTCATTCTGCGACCGGGACTTCACGCGTATTACGGTCGTGCAGCCCTCCGAGCATATCACTACCCACGTCTTTTCAGTGTTTCATGAAATTCAATATATTGAAATTGTGAAAGCTTCACATTTTGGGTGCCTCTTTTCCTTTTTTTGGCAATGAGAAAACGGATCAGCTAAAGCGATTTTCATTTTTCTACTTCATGTCTGTGCATCTAGAATATGCAGAGAACCCTTTCGAAAAGTGCTTTAAACCCTGAACGACCCCTCGGTAGTGCTCGTTGGGGTTAGCCAAGATTCTTAGCGATGTGATACTCGTTGATTCATTGTGCGTATCTGGTCACTTAGAAAATCTCGACCACCGACTGATGACGTCCAAAAATGTCCTTACAGACCATATTTCATGACAGTTCAGATCTTTTTACGTTTCAAAATTTGCAAACCCACCTTGTGGTGCTTGAAATTTGAACCAAATTTCTTCTTGAAAGCTTTGTGCTCCTTAGAAAATGTGATGTCATATAGGATTTCTCCCAGTGTCGTGACAATGAGATTCTTTAGTCGATCAATAATATCCAAATTGTCGCCAAGTGAAGACAGCAATCCTTAACAAGTGTACATAAAGACACATTTCGATCACCCGGAACATAGGAGCACTTAATTTTGCAAAGTGAGCTATTCCGTAACGGTGAAAAGCACACCACGTTAGTACTAACTGCAATGTGAATGGCAAGGACTCAAGAGAATGACAAAGATACGTCTGCGCCCGTGCACATTGTTGGCGCTTCTCGCTCATGCTCTCTTGGTGACAGGTGTGAAAGTGTGAATGTCTTGATGCCTGGTTCCTCTTTGATTCTGGTCCAATGTTTGATACTTCTATTTTTTGAAAGTTTTTCTCCCATCTAATAGATATCTAGTAATAAAGCACTTAGTAGTACGCGTTTATATGTTACCTCTGTGTTAGGTATCGGAAACTGTTGCGCGCTTGCATTCTAGCTGTGATAAAAACAGCACACCTTGCCAATCAGACAAAAACCGGAGCATAACCATTACAGCAGATACTCGGGTGGCTTTGAGGGACTGGAAACTCCCAGCGCGCTGATCCGTACCGCAATCTATTTCATTCAGAACTTTAATTTGAAAAATGTGGAACTGATTAGGAAGAGAGAATCTTCAACCTTCTAAATTAATTTTCCGTTTCTTCCTGAAGCTTGGGCATGAAGAAAATCGCGGTCTCATGAAAGGTCAATGCATGTAAGATCCACGAGCAAATGCTCAGAATGGAATTTTCCCCAAAATAATTGAGGGGTTAAAATAGTGTCGGCAAGTTCGAGAACATACACGACGAAATATTACCTTTTAGTTGTTCTCTCTGGATGCTTTGCACAAAAAAAAACCTGCAGCAGTCCGAAGAAATGTTAGTTTGCTTAAGCCGGGTTCCCACATGCCTGTGAGACAGCTGGATGCGATATGCGGTTTGCAAGCGCCCCTTAGGCACAATCGCATCCTTTTAAAGGCGCGGTCCGCGATAGAAAGCCTAGGTGTTGATGTTGCAGAAATGTGGAATAAAATTCGCCAAGTGAACCGTCCATGAAGAGAAAATGCCAAAGGGAACATTGGAAACGCATTCGTCAGGCCTCCTCTAGCCTCAAACAACTGTAGAGGTAAAAGACCGAAAAGACGCGCGCTGGGACGATTCCCGTCGGCTGATTCCCAGTAATGAACCCTATGACTCTACAAGAGACATTGAATGCATCCACTCCATGATACTTGCCCGGGAGCATTACTTTTGGCTGGAAGGCCGACTTTGGAGGCGGAGTCTGGAGGCGGAGTCACTGGAAAAAGGGATGTACCACTGAAGCAACTTTGCGCCTTAATTCCTTTACCGTACAACTTTCCGCCGCGAAACTGGCACAGGGTTGTCCACTCCGGACCGCACTACCTTCCCACATAACCTCTTGCATTTTCATAGATCATCACTAACCGTACCTTCAACTTTCTTCGCTAGAAGACTTGTAAGATCTGTGTTAGTTCTAGTGGGGCTTACGAGGTTGATAAGTGCCTGACGAAATTGTCTTCTTCGGAGGCCTTGAGGTGCTCGATGTGCAGATTCAGGCTACAATTCACTGAGCGCCTCTCTCCTCTGGCTATTCCGACGTTCCTTCGGGAATTTCGAAGAGAAAACTAAGTAATTTAAGGTATAAACTCATTCAGAACTCTTTTTTTTGAGAGGGACGCCCACCACCATGCTCGCACTTCAGCAAGCGGCGAAGCCAACTGCACTTTTCCCTTATTATATTAGGTTGTTCGAAAAGTCCTGCGACACTTTGTTTGAACTATTCTAGAAAAAGACCAAAAATCATTTTGAATGTTTTTATCTCTGATTAGTGGAGACTGTCTCCTGAGGTTTCTGAAAATGGGTATATCATGGCTCCGTGGAAGTTTTCAAAGCTTAAAAATACCTCAGAGATCGAGGTACTTCTCGACCTATCCCATATTATGAGTTCCTGTAGGGCAACTCCGCCATAGTCGAGGAAGCTAACACTTACGTTGTCTTGAGGAAGGATATCGCTTGCCATAGCAGAGAGTTCCTTTTGCATCAGCGCTTCCAGGCTGGACTTATTCAACTCGGAAGTAGGCAATGTATAGGTCGGCCACCAGCACAGAATGACGGCCCTTTACTCAAGCTTCTTGAGGCGCAGCCGAACGTAACCACCAGTAAGTTGGCAACCTCTCTAGGCTCCACCTAACTGACAACTGCCATGCTTCTCCGCAGTCTCGGTTATCGGAAAAATTTTTTATGAAGGATGCCTCATGAGTTGAACCCCTCTGACAAGTCATACCGAATGACCGTGACTGAGTTTTTTTTCCTTGTACACACTGGAGGAACATTTGTGAGATCTTGTGGTTGGTAGAGAGTGGTGGGGTCCTTGCGTACATCTTGCACATGTTCCTCGCAGGATCTCTCAAGAAAAGTAGATTGCACAGCCAAAAGCAGATGTGCATGGGATAAAGATTTCAGTAGGTTATTGGTGGGACTTCAAAGCGGTATCTCTGGATACTAGCATAACGGTAAGGACTACAGTCCACTCTAACCAACCTCACAACATGGATGACGTCACGCTTGAATTCTTCAAAAATACTCAATTTTTCTCTACCGCTCGGCAATGCGAAGACCGCATGTTAGGATCAGGCCACACCAAAAGATCGTGGATCTTGATCTGAGAATGCGACCATACCCAGCTTATTCATCAAAGTTAGCAGTCTCTAACTACTACCTTTTTTGATCCCTACCGCATCCTTAAGAAGGCAAAAATTCCGAAAATCGACGTCTACTCAAAAATGAGGTCCACCTCTTCTTCTTATCATAGTTGCCGTAGTTCTATAAGAATGGAAATGAGAAGCTGTGCAAAAGAAGGGCACTAGTCCTAGTCCTTAGTGGTGATTACCTTGTAGATTGGAGATGTCTTTTAGTGACTGAAAATTTAGTCCGAAAAATTGGTCAAAGTGTCGCAGGACT